GAGTTCGACTCACGGCCACGGCTTGCGTGAGTTTGGCGAGTGATCTGTTGACCGGTCATAGCCCCCCTCCCTCTCCCCCATACATACCCCCATCACCCCACCGCCCCCGTCCATTAGCTACCACGCTCTGATCAGCGTGAAGTGTGGTCAAACATCCCTGCTCGACCGACACGGTGTTGGGGAGGCCTTCCATTCGGCAATGGGTTGACAAATGACTGCGCACGTACAGGAGCCCATTGAGACCAGTCGCCTATATACATATATATTTTGTGTATTTGCTATCAAGGGATACATGATCACTGTATAAAACGACAACTCCAGTCTTAATAAAAGAAAGCAAAAAACCGCAAACAAAACGATTAAAGTATCAACAAATACATCATAACAGTTTGAATGAGAACACAAAATCGCATCTACGAAGCGCGTTGGGGCATTTCAGCGTGTGACTTTTACGGCAAATAATCCAGCCACAGGGCGATCCATTTACAGATACCCCAACTTATTTCAAACGGGCCCCTCGCTTCGTTCACAGCAGGTGATTGCACGCTGCGAAAATCGATGCCTCCGTGATCTCACGGAGATTGTTACATTATTAATCGATATCCCTATTGAGAATACTGGGAGACAAGTGTTGCTTTCGCTATTATTGTAACTTTTATTTAAGCAGTGGGGTATCTGCGAATGGTTAACCCGGTATATAGCACATATTTAAGAGGAAATCAGTGATGTGTCTCCAAATAAAAAAAACAAATATGATTAGTCCGTCAGCCTATTGACTTCCCAGACCTGCGTTAGTCAGCACCGTTTGTTTAAGCCAGCGGACTCAACAGTCTGGAATGGTTTCGATCTACTGAGTCTCATCAGCAAGAGCGAGGCTTGTTTCTACAAATGCTGATGAGTTACCGCCACCACCATACGTTAATAGCAAGATCACCCCTTCCGTACGTGCGATGTGGGAACCTGTCACAACCGCTGGTCCATAAAGATTCGTTTATAGACAGCGGGAGAGCAACTGAAGATACATTCACTGACACATTGCGTCCGTGCCTAGCACTACATTAAACACTGTCCAATTATGTTCACATGGCCCGGAGTAAATGTTTTCTGTTGCGGATGATTCCAGCTGAAATATGTGTTTTTGTTTGTTGTTTCAAGAGGTTATTTCTGATTTTCAAGCTACCGCGCGAAAATCTGCGTCTATGTTTATGTTTCATCGTGTGTTGAAATCTACGCTGGCTCTCCGGGCTCAATAGATGCGGCATTTTACTGTGATGTGTGTGCGTTAAACAACTCGTAAACATCTCGTAAGGCGCACAAACACACCGAGGCAATCCACTTTCGTTATTTCAGCACGTCAAATAAATTTGTTGTGTTTTAGTCCATTGACATAATTATTATTATTATTGGCCTTGTGGAATTATTTCACCAGCAGCAGCATTTGTATCCGTATAGTCCAGTGTGCGTGCATGTTGTCTTCAAGCACGCGCACAAGCGTCATGTGCGTCTGCGCTTTGAAACATTAACGTATATGGGTCAATCGACATTGCGTGTTTAAGACTGAGCGTACATTACGATCGGATGTATCCTTAACGCGAGCGGCGATAAAGTGCTCCACGCGGGGTGCGTTAATCACAATGCCATCATCCGAGTGTCAAACATTTTTAGCACCATCAACGAGAATCGCTTTGCCCGAGTCACGCTTTTGAACACCGCGAACAAACCTCGGAGCGCGAATTTTTTTTTGCACGATTCCGTTGTGCGTCTTAATATGTATTGCTTAACGTCTCGCGAACGGGTTGTTTTATATGCGTGCGTGTGTGTGAGAGAGAGCTTACTTACTACGATACAGTATATAAACATACATACATCTGCTCATTCCACAGCAGCGCAGATGCAAGATATGTTTATTGAGACGTTGTTCTTTTAACTATGAGAGACAACAGCCAACCTTCCCCAGAAAAAAATATGTATTCGATCAGGCTGTATGTGTATCGTACGTAAATGCATCCTTTTATTCGCGTAAGTTAGAGTTCACGTAGGTTCGACGATGGTCGTTTTTTTATCCTTGGGAGCAGAGGCGCTTATCAGTCGCGAGCTATCTCTCACTGATCTAGTGTGGGAAAGGGATGGCGTAAGCAGCATCACCATCATCATCTCTGTCTCATGTGTGTGTGTATACTCTTGGGGAGCGGTAGTGTAGCGGTTAGCGCGCTGCGCTATGAACCCGGCGATCCGAGTTCGATTCCCGATCACGGACAACACCGGTGACGAATCTCTGGGCCTCCCTAGGTCGACTCAGCCACAACTGAGTACCTGGTGCCGTGTGTCAGCATCGCCCACTGGGGAGACAAAGGCGGCCGGGCGTGGTGCTGGCCACCCATCCCCTCGTGTGACGTGCCGGCCTTCATAAGTGCTCGCTATGAGCACTTGCCCCAACAGTATGTCAAGGCTACACGGGGGGACCTTTGTCTTTGTCCTACAATTTGCCCGATAATTTTTTTGTTCCAACGAAATTCCGGCAAATAATTGTTTTATCGTAATCTTGCAACAAACATCGCGTTTCCCTAAAACTCTCCATTTTTGGGGCGCGGGGCGAGTACGCGCGTCTCTCTCTCTCTCGCTCGCAAGCAAACAACACGCGAAAGTCGTGCTACTTGGGTGTCGAATCATGAACATCATCTTACGAACGACGGCCGACGACGTTCGCTTATCAACGGATGCGCTTTAATCTGATGCCATTTATTTTGGAATGCAGAATTATCTCGCGAGGTAAACGCACGCCCGTTAATAAAGAAATACGCAAACAAATAAATAATAACCGGGACACGCATTATCATATGTATTTGTATTTGTGCGTAGACTTAAATTTGCGCGTATGTGCCGTGTATTTAAACGACAACAACAACAATAACAACACAAACAGAACGCAAATCAATCCGTTACCGATTTGCCATTGTTTCCTAGCGAATTAACGTGACGGCGATTTTATTCAGTGATTCCCACCACACACTCGATTATATGCGCAATAGACGCGCGTTTTAAGAGTTCATGAAAATTCTAATATGTATGGCTGTTTACTTTAGACTGAACATTCTCAATATGCATCACAGCATTGCCATTATCGCTTTAAACCAAACAAGAAAACAGTGTCATGTGGACTGTATGAGACATTCATGTTGGTTCAAACTAAAGTCGATATTCTTTTGAGCCCGTGATTAATATATGTTGGAGCAAAATGCAAAATAACATTTTCGAATTCGTTTGCACTCAACAACACCATAGCGGAATCAACACTATTGGTCCGCACGATATATGCCTACACAATCTAATCGGTAGATGTATACTGTTGTAAAGCAACGCGTTCAGTCGTTACCACGTTACGACTCCGTCTTACACGTGTCTGATTTTAAAAATACAGCCCCCCCCCCGTAATAATTTCTGTAAATGATTAATTTCGGTAAATATGCCCTTAAGATGCGACTACGTGTAGTACGTTGAAAACAATGATGCGTAATCAATAATATGTTGTATAGACGAGGAATCGATAAGACATATTCAGGGTATGAGCAGGGCATGCGAACAATTCATACCTGATTTCCGCTTACGCTAAAATCCAGTATTTATAATTTATTTTCAAAAGACTTTCCCTTAATTCACCTTATATAAATTGACCTATTGACACGTGTTCTGCCTCTCAGTCTTGTATATTCTCGGCCTGTTGCTCTCACATTTAACACACTGCGCATCTTCTTGTGACGTATAAGCGAGCGGTGGTGCAGTGGTTAGCCCACCGTGCTCACGAACCCGGCCTAACTGAATTCGAGTCCCAAATACGTACGGCTAATATCAGCGGTCGAGTGATAGCTAAACCGGTCCATTCAATCCACACACACATCACCAATACATGGGGACGATTCTTTCAGAAGTGGATTAACAAACGGCTATAAGTCACTCATGTTTAGCAAATCACTAGATTATATGAGCGGGGCAAAGAGCATATTATATTTCGTACGTGCAGTTTTTTTGACGGCTCGAGTTTTCGTTTAGCAAACGGAATAAATATGCCACGTGCCATTTCATACGTAATCTCTCCACGTGTCTGTATTCATATGGCCTCACATAGTATACACTATAACCACTTGATGCACTCCCCCCCCCCCAAAAAAATATATATTTCTGCTATGCATGTTTTATACTGTAATGGTTAAGTTGGATTTATTATTTACATTATCGTGATCACATCCAACAATTGCCTTGAGCATCAAAGTGCAGGATATAATGATTGCCTCGCAGCTCTTGCATTCGATGAATACGCTACTGTGGATTCATGAGTTTATTTCAAATAGCCATTTCTATTATGCACCATTTGGCATGATGTTTTCATTGAAATGCATTAAAACGTACAACGCATTTACGATATTTTTGATGTATTGCATGTGGAATTTTAATAACCCCCTTTAAGTAAATATAGGCATGGAACAACCCACAGGCCAATTATAATTGCCCAGCTAAAATAATGCATTGATAGAGAAAGGAGGGCATTTTAAAAAGAGACCGCATACACATATACGTTGCACAGTGAGGTATGTAGCTCCATATAATGAATTGCATATGCAATGTTCATGTCATAAAACGCATGGACATTAACTATAGAGATGCTTGTCCTCAACGGTAAAAAAAACAACTATATAACACATTTCCTGTATCTGCATCTCCATTGCTTGCCATTTTTCTAGAGTTCGCTGATATGCACACAGGACAAACCTGATAAAGCAGAACTCTTACTCGATCGAAGCACAGGCCTAATTGCATCTGCAAAGCACAAACAAAGCAACGAGTCCACAAAACATGCACCAAACCATGCACCGAACACACACACACAAACCGCAGATGACACGCACGCACATCGAGCGAAAACAATGCCTTCGGATTAGCGCTAACCAATTAGACATTTCTCGCCATCGTTAAGTAACGCCTTGCTGTTTCGAATGTCTTTTCAGATGGGAGCTCGGTACGTAGGCAGAGGTATTCCTTTGATCTTACAACGCTGTCCCGACAGGACGACCTGATTAGCTCTGAGTTCCGAGTCCTCCGGAGAGCGCCCGAGGAGCCCCAGAGAACCTCCCGCTTGGGTAACCTCGTGTCCCTCAAGCTCTTCCTGTGCCCAACCACCTCCCGTGCACGTGAGCTGCTGCTCGACTCTCGCGCCGTCGACCTCCTCGACAAGAAGCTGCCCAGCTGGGAGGTGTTCGACGTGAAGGCCGCCGTGGAGAGAGTGTATAACGACACGTCCGTCACGTCGCTCTGCCTCGACCTGGAGGTGTCTTCGGAGAACTCGCGGATCGTCATGGAGGGGCGCTACGTCGGCTTTTCCCGGAAGGGGCGACGGCCTCAGGAGAAGGCGCTCATGGTCATCTCCAGCCGGGCACACAAGCGGGGCAACCTCTTCAACGAGATCATCGACAAAGGGAAGGCTTCCCACGGCGGAGGAGACGGCGATTCGCACGAGAAAATCAGAGGAGCTGTGGACGTCGTGGGCAGAACTCGAAAGAAAGACGAAAGCGAAGAAGTGTCCCTAAAATCTGGACATCGTCATCAGTTAAATAAGAAGATTGGCGGCAGAGCGGACAGTGATCAAGCTAAAGGCCGGGCGCCAAAGCAAAGCGGGGGCAAGGCTGGGTCACTGTCCCGCGGCAAAGCTTCCCAGAAATTACGTAAAGGGGAAATTGATCCAGCTGACTCTGATCCACAGTACCGCAGAAAAAGGACACCCCTGGCCAATCGTCCTGGCGGCAAGGGACATAACAAGAAATCAAAGTCTCGGTGCAGTAAGAAGCCGCTGCACGTTAACTTCAAGGAGCTGGGCTGGGACGATTGGATCATCGCTCCGCTAGATTACGAAGCGTATCACTGTGAGGGCGTTTGCGATTTCCCCCTGCGCTCCCACCTCGAGCCCACAAACCACGCGATCATCCAAACGCTGATGAACTCCATGAATCCCGACTCGACGCCACCCAGCTGTTGCGTGCCGACCAAGCTGAGCCCCATCAGCATACTCTACATTGACTCGGGCAACAACGTTGTCTACAAGCAGTACGAGGACATGGTCGTGGAGTCTTGCGGTTGCAGGTAGCCCGAAAGAAACCATTGGAAGAGCCAGCAGACTCCAGTGACGGACAGTAACTTGACGTCACACGTTTGCGCGTAATCTGTTTTGTGGAAGGAAAGGCAGCTTCTGTTATGGTTCACCACACACCAGCTCCAGTCATGTCATCAAACGACTGAAATTTAAAAGGATAAGACATTCTTGAAGTGTGGTGGTATCCTACAGCAAGTATGTTGGGTTCATTTGCTGTGGATACTGTAGCACTAAGGGTAGCTACTGACAGACATTGATGTATATTTGATAAACGGAGCTCACTTAAAAGTCTGTGCGTAGGCAAACTTTTTTTTTTAACTATTGACAAAAAACGCAACTCGACGCACCCATTGCAAGGAAAACCCGCCCGCTTGGAAGGAAAGTGACAAACGACCGACGAAAAAAACGTAAAGCATCGCGCTTCCACGTGCTGCTTGCACAGATGATTTTCCAATTGTGGAAATATTTTATGGAAAGAAAAAGGACCGTCCGTCTGTCCCCCCCCCCGCTCCCCGAAATTCGCGGAAGGAGTTAAACGTCGTGCGCGCGGTTCTTTCTTACAGCCACCTGTTTAAACAGTGGACCTACTTTATTGAGACGGGACCATTGGCAAAGAGCAAATGCTGCGGAGATAAGGCTGGCATTGCCTATGCGGAGTCCCTTGGAGGACAGCAGCTGCTGAGGACAAGAGGGGGGTGGGGGAGTTGGGCTGGCTGGCACGCCATGCCTTACGAGCAAGCCTAAATACTGTTTAACTTTGTTTATAGCCTGGAGCCATGGCATGTAATTATCTGTCTGTAAAGAGAGCAAGAGGAGGGGGAGCCTTGCGTGCATCTCCGCTCAGTTGGCAGAGAGAGAGAGAGAAAAAAAATTGTGGGTAATTTTATTATTTTGTTCGGGTGGGTTGGTGATTGTGCACACTGGGAAGACTGGACAATGAGCTCAGTGAATGGACCCTCAACATTTGCCAAGGAATAAATGTTTGATTGCTAGTGGCAATTGCCACAACGTAGCCTGTGTTTCACGAAGAAAAATCTTGTTTTGAAAAAAATAAACAACCCCTGCGTTATGTTTTTTGCAGGCTGCAACACAGCACATGACCCAGCGGTGTCTGACTGCGGTTATATGTTTTTAACATTAAACTACACTGAAAAAAAAAAACAATGGATCTGGTTGAAAATAAATCTTACCTTGCTTTAACAACAACAAAAAATCACACAGAACGCAAATTTAAAAGTTGACTTCCAGTTGTCCAGTACGATAGCAATAATAAGTGTCCGTAGATTTTTATTTTTTACAAACATTACAGTAACTGTATAAAACACAGCAAGATTAAAAAAAAAACTGCCGGTACACTTAAAACTAGATGGAAGGCCCTCTCTTTTGAACACTTTACAACACACCGTATAATAGCGAATCTCATCAGCAAGTGCAAATATTTTGAGCGCCTCCAGAATTTGCCCACGTTTTGTGGGCCTCCGGCTGATGTGTTTCGTTATGTTACAGCTAACTGTAGAGTGGACCTAAAGACGTCTCTGTGTGTTTTATCAGTGCATTAGAAACACGCGATGTTATAAACAGTGTTTATATATTGTCGACATATAGAAACTATTACTTTAATACATGCAATTGTTTCTCTTTGCTGTTATAGACTATTTATTTTCTGTTTATAACAATATAACTTTTTTTGTTGTTGTTGCTGTTGTTGTTGTGCTGGAATGGTAACAAATGTAGAAGATAAAATAATAAGGTGGGCAGAGACAAAAAAAAACACAATCAGTCCGTAAAATATAATTTAATAAATGGCTCAATTCTGGGCTGTAATGTAGACAAAATGCACATGTAATTTGATTTAATGCACTGTTTCATGTTTGTCCTTTGAGTTGTACATACTGTGGATTTCTGTGGATTGACATGTATTATGCTTTATGTAATAGAGGTGGCCATTTATATTGTTTTTTTCCCAGAATGCGTTTTGTATACATGGTATATTACATTCCTTTTTTTAAAATGCACTCGTATAATTTTAATTGACGTATCACAAAGCTACACGGACTCCACATGCCACGATGCAGACCAATGCACACTCACAAGGCAACATCTTTTTAGACAATACTCACCTGAAGCTCTTCATGCTCAACGAATGGAAACAAAAACCAACTGTACAACAAAAATAAACAGTCTTGTGATTTCTTATTTAAGATTTTTTTTTAACCATGTTAGAGTAAGAAATCATTTATAAATATATTATATATAAAAAAAAGTTGCTATCCGTAGTAATTGATCCGTTTTATATTTACGCAAATTTTGCAGATGGAAAAAAAACACCCCGAGATTTTAATTTCCTGTAACTTATTTGTTAATTACGACTTGTTTTTGTTTGTTTAAAGAGTGGATATGCTAGTTTGCCAAAACTGGGAGGTGTTCCAAACAGAAAGGCGCACACAAGCTGATGAGACAGATACAAAACATTTAAATAAACCTGAGGTTACGGCAACAAAAAAACAACAACAAAACATTATATGCCTAAGATAACCAGCCAGTCCACTAACCACATCGAGTGGCTTTCAAAAGACCGCTTAGGTCTTCACGGATGAGCTGCTCAGCTCTCCCTATATGTTCACGGGTCATCCCCCGTGTTGTTGGGCACAATGTCTGAATGCTTTGCTCCACGTGCTTGCCGGTAGCATCATCTTCTTCTTCGGCAGAACTTGATTTGAAGCTTTCGTGACTGCAGGAATTACTCTGGTTCTTTCGGTAAAGTCACGGGGAAAGAAAATAAATTAAATCATAGAATACGACGTTTCTATTGCAACACAAGCAATCGTCATCGGGTAGAAAACAAACACAGTAAACTTAGAAATACAATACAACACAGATAGTCGGATAACACAACAGTCAACACCCTACCTGGTTGAATATTTTCTTCCAAAGATTGCTAAATTTGAGAGTTCTTCTGCAGAGTCTAGTAGCTGAAGTACCTCCCAAAATGTAACCATTAACCGACTTGATATTTTGTTCACTAGTTACATTAGCGTACGCTGTGTTTATTATAACGAAACTATCTCGGTGTGGTTCAAACAACGGCCCACTTAATGGCGCGCTTGGGCTATGAATCCGGTGACATGAGTTCAATTCCCGGTCATGGCTAACATTGGTGCGCAAGTAATTTCCGCACCGGGACCTGAGCCTCAGAATTCAATTATTGACGATTCTCGCAGAAAGTGGAGCGAGACGCTCGGACACAATGCCGAACAACACCATGGATAGCCTGAAACACACAGAGGAGAGAGCAACAAGAAACTGCGATTAGTTTATGCTATTCGCAAATGGTAAAACGACCTCAGGTGTGATATAATCAAGATTTAAATAAGCAGGCTTAAATTATACAGAGGATGAATGAAGATGGCATCTTCACTCCGATCCGTGTCTACAGTCTATATGGGAAACATTTTATGAGGAACGTTCTTGAAAGCACGTTATCATTTGGCGCAAACAGCACGGAACCTCTGTTGGCGAATGCCATCAGTCTGTACGGCGAAGAGAGATGTTAACGCCTACTTATCATTGTCTCGTCGGGGGCAGGAGTTGTAGATGCAGAAGTGAAGGTGCAGAGGGATATATCACCGGTAAATAAAGGGTTTTTTTTTGGGGAGGGGTGTTAGGTTGCGTAAATATAAATGTGTCGTTGACCCACCGCCACATGACACGGGCAATTAGTAAGGTGTGTTATGTAAACAACACGTGAAAATTGGTTACAACTTCAGCGCACCGGTGCATGTGTTTAAAAGTACACCCACAACATTTAGAATTTGAGTACGAAGTTTCGCTGGTGATTACAACCAGCTTCATCAGGCGATTTTCCATTATTGTGAACAAGTCAAACCATTACTAATTGGCTGTGTTGGGTGGTGGCGGGTTAACGACACATTTATATGTACGCGAATCTAACCCAAAACACCTTGATTTTGAATAATACTGGTGTTGAACGGATATACCGCCACATTATTTGCACTCCGGTGCCCCTTCTCATACACCCCCGCGATAATCTACACGGAGGGCTCGCTCAGTGCCAAGAAGAGATGTGATCTAAGGCAACGATGATGAAAAAAAAATATTTGTGATGTTCCGCTGTGTGCTGGCCTCTTCACAAACCATCGATATCCATCGTGTTTTTCTTTTCTAATCCCATGCCATCACACTTATTATATCTCCATAACGCATGGTGGTGAGCGGTGATTGCATTAAACAAGTTCAAACAATCATCGCGGTGACGTGCCAAGTCGTCGTGATTTTTTTTTCGTGGCAAATACACGGACATAAAAAAAAACTGCGAATTTATTCAGGGTGCACATTTTATGTGTTCTACTTATTCTCACATCCACTTAATAATGGACATCTGCCCAACGCGGCAGTTGAAACAATGGTGCAATTTATTTTTTAAAACTCATCCCCCCCCTCCTCTCCCCCCGTCTCGCTGCTGTCCACCAAGTGGTATAAACGGGTTCACCGCGATTTAGGGGCCGTCCATAAATGACGTCACGCGATTTTGGACAATTTTTGACCCCCCCCACCTCGTCACACGGCGTCACAAAAAGTCAGACCCCGCCCCCAAATATGACGTCACAAAGCTCTGCTGCCCCCCCCCCCCCCCCAAAACCATATTTCCATTTTGAAAATAAAACATGCTTCAAATCGCTTTAAACTATTGTCATTGTAGTGCGTATTTAATGTGGCGCTGCACTCTGATGTTGTTGGAGTGTTTTTATAACAATTCTATACTCATTGTTTTTTTCGGTAAAGTCACGTATGTAGAAATACCATAAAATTTTATTAAAATAAATCAGTCACGACGCTTCGAGATGAAGATCGCTTGTGTTGCGGTCGAAACGTCGTGATTGATTTATTTTAATAGAATTTTATGGTATTTCTACATACGTGACTTTACCGAAAAAAACAATGAGTAATTTATGCAGTCACGAAAGCTTTAATTCTTTATTAACAATTCTATATTTATTTAAAGTTGCGCATTTTGATGTTACGTCACATTTCGCAAACCCCCCCCCCCGTCACACATCGTCACAAATATCTGACCCCTCCCCCCCCCCCCCAAGTGCGTGACGTCATTTATGGACGGCCCCTTAGTCCGATAGTCATATTGCGTGCAGCGTCCGTTCTCGCACCGCTTTCAAGCCATCCGGGAAGCGGAGACGAGAAACGCCCTCCGGAAGGAGCTCTCCAGAACTCCCTGGACATCTGTGATAAAAGAGCTTTACAGCTCATCGGATTTCTCCGGTATTAATAAATATTCTGATTCCAGTGGAGGCCCCTTCCACCAGCAGCGGCGTGAGGGAGCAATTTCAGGACTAAGGCTTTACGGTTTTTTTTTTCCACGTTTATCTTGTTTCCCCAGCATGCCTATAACATGCATCGCTCACTGATACGTATCGCGTTTTACAGGTTGAGGTCATATGCGAATATTAGGGAGACGCTGAATGAATGAAACAGCTCCCAATCAAGATAACATTCAACCTAAATGTTTAAAAATACTTTCGGTGTAACTGCATAACTATTTGGGCGAACACAATTTTTCAGCTTAAATCCTTAGTGTGCAGTCGTTGCATTTTCAAATTGCAATTTAACAATTATTCCAGTGCAAGTTCTGTGTCCGTGACGTTCAAAGCAACCAACTGAAGCCACTGGATATATTTCGCTTCTCATTTAATACCAACAACACAAAGAACAAAGCCAGCTCTGTGTGCGATAAGACTGCAGCATTTTCCACACTCGGGCAGCAATTTTTTTGTGTTTCTTCTTCTCATATTGAACAAAAAAACCAAACTAAACAGAAGCCTTAAGAAGAAATAAAACAAGGTGTAAGTGAAGTCGAGTCGGTAAAACACATTTAATAAAATTGCTATTTTGTTCACCGTTGTCGCTAAATATATTTTGTACACGTATAGCTGATGCCACAGTGGGCTGGTGCAGTGGTTATGTACGTGTGTGTGTGTACGTTGAACTTCTTTCGCGCCGTACGTAGCCAACCGTGCTAATCGGAGGTGCCGGGGTAAGGACAACGCTCTGGGACTTTGAACCCTATGAGCTGAGTTCGACTCCTGGCCACGACGACCACCAGTGTCGATGGGCCTCTGCAGTAGTCATGGTGCACTCCCTTCACTAGCACGCACTGACCAGACTGGTGAAGTATGGTCGAACAACGCCCATGACTGATAACACGGCGAAACCTTCATCGAGCAGTGGATTGACAAACATCTGTAACGAGTATCAGAGTAGACTGTGCAAATTAAAACGTTGCTGCGTATTACACTCAGCGCGAAACAGATATATGTAAGCACAATACAGTGCTCAAATAACATTTCTAACAGTTATCACGCAAGTTCCATGGCGGTTCGCCGACCCCATTCAAAATATGACAGCGTGCTCCCCAAATTTTTTTTTTATAGATTTTCTCTAAGAAAACACGCGATGGAAGTAATAAAACCGGGCATGAATGTTTACGTTTTATTCGTGAAAAGACGCGGCGGCGGCGGTGGTTCATCTTCTGGCATCGTCTCACCGCCCGCCAGCTGTACATTTCAGGTGTTGAACGCGCAAACGCCTGTGACCCGACTTCAAGAGTTCCCCCACAAGCTGGGACCGTTGCCTGCTGTGGCTGCCCTGCCTCCCTCCGTAAGCCCACACTCATCTCGTTCAACTTGGCCTGAAACCAGAAGCCACTTGTCCAAACCTATTAGTCTGTGCAATGGGTTTAAGACAAAGAAGGAATGCTGCGTTATAATTTTATAATATAGAAAACCAAATGGGCAAGAATTTAATGTTTTTATTAACAATTAAATGGGTCGGTGCATGCGAGCGGTTGTACGGGCTGTATGATGTTACATACAGTATTACAAAAATGCGGTGGAACAACACATTCGCCGAAGCTTACGTTTTGTAAAATAAGGCTATCCCTTCTCAAACATTGTCCATATAAATCCCTGCTTTTTTTCCCCCGACCTCTAAAACCAGACTCGTAAATCATTTTATATTTTGAAACGCGTGTGACTTGAAGTGTTTTCATAGCTAGGCTAATTAAAAATGAAAGCATAATTAGTTTAAGCTGTGAATTGTATTTATTATAATTACTGCTCCTACTACACAACATTGAAATCTCCCGCAGAATTCTACATGCGTAT